TTCTTTCAAGCCCCTTCATACAACCAGCAAGAACACCAGCATCTCTATAGTAAACTGGCCTCACAGAAGAGTTAATACACGTACACTCTGATTTCACCTGCATTTAACAAGGTTAATCTGACGACTTTCGCAGGCAATAACAGCTTTTAGGCGGAGTTCAGAGAGAAAACTACACAGGGTAGGCAAAAGTATTACACTGTCCTTACGCTCCCCTATCCCAGTTCCAAGCTGCCCAGCATCTACTCTAGAAATAAGTAAACAGGGCTTGGCAATGCTTCCGCAAGTAGTCTGGAGGAATTTTTCGAACATCCTAGGTGACAGTCATGCTTCAGTAATAGTTTAAAAATAATGAACTTGACAGTGCCATCACCAAGCAAATGCAAACGTTTTCTGATTAAGTTACTGCATTAAATGACACTGAAGATTGGACATTTGGAGAGGCATTTCAACTTGTGAGAACGAAACTTCTAAACATCGTCCCATTTGCTATTAGAAAAAAATCAGAGCCAGAGAAGACATTGCTAATGAGCTATCCACGACTTAAAACGGACTCTGGAGAAAGCCAATGGCCTCTCCAGTTTAAAAGGAGTTATAAAAGTTGAGGAGGAACGTGATACCAGTTCAACTCCATCATAACCTGACCCTGCAGGAAATACTGGATCTCATGTGCCCCTCAACTTATTTACCCCTCAAATGGGAATAGGAGCCCAGTTATGAGTAATTGCTATCAAAGCCTATTTGCCTCTGGCAGCAATAATGAGCATTTTCCCAGACGCTGGTTTATGCTTCTCCGTTAACGTTCCAGTTCTCGACTCTTGGCTTCCCAAGATTCTGTGAGTTTGGTCTCCAACTCAGAGCTCCGATTTGGGGAAACACTGCAGCCAACACCAGGGAACAGTAGCCAACTCCCTAACTCCCAATGTAGTCACTATGCAGTCTGTGCCACCTCATTTAATTTTTTGCTGGGATGACACACAATCTCTATGACAGAAATGCGCCCAAGGACATCACCCCAAAGAACTTGCTTCTCTTAGATCCACCAAAGGATAAAATGTTCTCAATGTCACCTCCCAAGATAAACACCCTACCCCAAATGCCCCTTTTAATTGGCTGGTTGACTATCCCCAGGGTGTGACTGCATGGGTTGATCCCAGGTATGCAACCAAGTGGGAAAAGTCCTCCTGATCGTAAGTGCTGTGACAAGGCCTGCCACGTAGAGAGTGACCGGAAACCACGCTGCCGCAGCCACAGGACCCTGGTGCTTTGCAGGAGAGGCTCCCCTATTTGAGGAAATTGTTCCACGGTCCACTTCCAGCTCCACAGTTCAATGGTCAGGCCCACTGAAGGTCAGGGAGATTCAACACAACCATTCTGCCAAAGCAGGGGGAAGAGGAAGTAGAGCTTCGGAGTGAATAGAATACTTAGAACTCACACACAAGCCCGAGGTTGTAAAACTTTCAAGTATCTAACTCCCTCCCCCTCAAATCTACATGAACAAATGTAGGGCAATGCTAGGTTCTAAGTGTAAACAATTATAATAAATTAGAAGTAATTAGCACCATAGGTTCACTTATTAGTACTCTCATAGGAAAATCCTAAGGGAAAGTTGTTATATCCTTGAATCTGCGAAGCCAGGGACCCCGTTGCTCCAAACGCTCCTGAACTCTACAAATGCTGCCTGCTTCTAAGGGTCAAGCTCAGGCCAGGCCGCCAAGCACATCCTTGCAAGAGCCCTCTGCAACACATCCCACCCTAGGAAGCCAGCTTGCTTCATGCAACTTTTCCAAGAAACATTAATCACACCCAGAAAAGGAAAACAAACGCACCCCGAAGATCAGCAGCATTTATGATACCATCAAGGTTGCCTTGCTTTTGGCCTTTCAATCACTGTCAACCTGTTAATGTTTATGAGAGGTAATTACTGATTTCTAAATGCAATATTTTTCTACTCTCAATGTGGATTATTGTTATTCAAAACCCACACCAATAGGTCATATACTAAATTACTTCCAAAAGTATTCCACAACTCACCATGGTCTTTTTTTTTTCTTTTCTTTTTTCTTTCTTTTTTTTTTTTTTTTTTTTTTTTTTTTTTTTTTTTTTTTTTTAACAAATGGAGGCTTCTTTCATGCTCGGATTTTTTAAGTTTGATTTTTAAGTGTAACGCGAAACTTCCCTTTCATTTGGCTTAGAAGGAAAGAATTCTCTTTCTCGCTGGCTATCAAGTGGATTTAAAAAATCAACTGGGAAATTTAAAAGAAATGCAAAGACAGCTTTCTAGGACTAAAATTACTGCAAGAAAATTACTGTAAGTGTCAACAGAAACACTAGATTTCTGGAGGTGAGTAGCTCATCAAGACTGGAGCATCTAACACCAATTCGTCTGCGCGATGAAAAACATTTCCATTTCTCATTTTACTTGAACACCTGCTCTTCTGCCTGAGGAGATGGAGCGCCAGACACTGACATCTGGATTACTCAATCTAAACAACATCGACTGCCTAATTATGCAGAGGATTTTTTAGATGTGTAGCTCTCTTTCTACTCCAGTTTCATGTATGCGCGGTACATGTTGGTAACTATTTTTAATTTTGATGGAAACTTTTTCTCAGTCGTCATTATTTTACCTAAGTTCACTGCGGCTGCAATTATTGAAACCTCATCAGAAAAGAAAAGGATGAGAACATTCAGTAACTTCAACTCCAATTTATGTCTTCCACATAATTTGAATTATTTATGCATTTGTTCCACCCAAAGTGTTAAACATTTAACTTCATCCAGAAAAGAAACTAGTTTCCTTAGGAATGGCGGCAACTTATCGTACATTTCTTAAATTTCTGAAATAAAGATTATGTTCATCCAATTTAAGACTTTTGATTCTGAAGGCAACTGTTGAATACAACAACAACAAAAAAATGCTTTGAACGTCTGATATTAGTGAAACCCCCAAGAAGGCACTAATGGGATTCCCATGATCTAATACATGTCAAGGCTTTAACTGTAATCGTAAACCCACTGAAGGCTGATGATCTGAAAGTATGGGGCTATTGTAGCCAGTTTTTATGGGTTCAATTCCACTGGAAAATCCCAGTTTCTATATTTTAAATCTCAACTAGAGAAAAACCATGGCATGCTTTCAAAGCAACAATGTGAAGAAAGCAAGCACTGGACGAACAGGGCAAGAACAAACACCCCTGCTAACAGTCACCCTCGCCACAAGCCATCAACGAACTTCTCCAGGGCAAGGCTGAGCGAAACCTCAGCCCTTGAAATACATGGAGCTTACTTTCCACGCTCACGAACTACATGTGAATCATTTCATTTCCCTCTGACTATTTCCCACACCAGGTTCACCAAACCACAGAACTTACTCAGCCTGCACTGACAGGGTAACTGTTTACTAAGGCGATTTATTACTCTATTTCTGGCATGTTTGCTTCTATGATCCAATTCGGTGACTCCCATAAGCCAGAAAAAGCTGGCTTCAAGTTAATGCAGGCAAAGGCACTGAACAGGTTGCCAGCACTAGGCTATACCAGAGTGCTTGGGAGAAGTTGTTCGGTTTGGTCCCAGTCTGAGCACACTGTAGATTGCAGATGTGTGACTACTTGTGATTGAAACGGATCCTTGCAGATATTATAGTATATGATTATTTGTGCTCAAAACAAAATTCAGCCTACCTCCCCTCTGACAGATATATGCAAATTAGAAACATAAAGACTATTCATCCAAGGGTCACACATATGTAAAAATATCGTCACAGATCTCTACCTCATTTCTAAAATCTCTCATCGGTTTCTTATTTCATGTCTATATTGATTTAAATCAGTATTTTTTAAAATCAGTATTTCAGTGTCAGTGTTACGAGATTCGTTATGGGACAGCAGACCTAATTCCACCTTACAAATCTTACTTCAAAAGGTCAGTGAACACGGCACTCATTTTACAACCACAGGCGTGTAGGAACAACTAGCTTCAAAAAAGGACTTCACTGTGCGCGTTTATTATTTATGGGCTGATTGTTCTATTTAGGGCTACAACAGCACTGAAACAACAACACGCTTTTGGCTGCAACGTTCCAAAAAAAGTCATTCAAAGCGTCCGCTTTTCCCAAGGACGCATATTTCAATTAATTTATTTTCACGACACCGATGCAGCAAACATACCCTCAACGCTTCTTTTGGTTTGAAAATATCAAATTACCTTTAACAGAAATTCTGCTAAAAATTGATTCAATTTTTTTTTCCTCAAGGCACTCTGAAATTTGGAGCTTAATGTCCCCAAAACTTTTTTTTCCCACGTTTTTGGATTTATTTTCTACATAAGCCTACAACTTTGTCCAAGTTTTTATGAACTTATCGGTCTCAGCTCGTGTGGAGGGAGGAAAGCAGACCTGAGGAAGGTTTTCTGGGTGGGTGTGTGTGTGTGTGTGTGTGTTTTCCGCCGTCAGTTTTTAGTCATTTCACACTCACGGAGTCCGCTCCCCCACCGCGGGGCGCGCCGCAAGCGCCACGGGTGCAGACCCACTTCCCCCAGAGCGCTGTCACCTTGCCAAGCGCGGGGAACTCGCGGGTTTTGCCGCGAACCTCGGGATCGCGACCTCCTCACGACAGCCCCGGCGGGCCAGGGGCGCGAGGTGACAGGCAAGTGGAGAAACCCACGCCACCGCTTCCTGAAACCGCTCGTGGGGCGCTGCCTCGGGGCCCGGGCTGAGCTCTCACTGACAAGCACAGCCCGGAAGCGGCCGGCGTGCTCGGCGAGGCAGCACCAGCCAGGCCCCGCACCCGCGGCGCCCTCCTAGCGCACGGCCGCCTGTGCGCCACCGACCCGACGCCTGGCCCTGCCCCGCCGCGTTGCAGACGCCTCGCCTCGGCCACCGCCGGGGAGTCCGGACCCCGCGCAGGGGCGCAGGCAAAGGACCCCCGGGCCCCTGCCTGCGGCCCTCGGGTGGGAAAGCACAGGCGACCGCCCACGCACCCCTCCCCCAGCGGGCGTCTTACCCGGACAGGAGTGCAGGGGCTTGGGGCGCACGACCAGCGACGGGCACACGGAGTAGAGCGAGAGTTTCTCAAAGTAGTCGCAGGTCTCCTTGGACAGGATCTCGTCGATCATGAAAGTCTTGTAGCGCCGCCTGGCTGCCTTCAGCTGGCCGGGCGAACTCAACCTCAGCTCGGCGTGGCAGTGCATGGTGAGCCGCGGCGAGCGCCCGCCGGCCCGAGCGCGGCTGCGAGGGCACGGGCCGGCCGGGGCCGCGGGGCTGGCGCGCCGGCGAGGGGCAGGGGGCCTGAGCCCCGCTCCTCAGCAGCCGGGCAGGCGGCGGGGGGCTGCGAGCGCCGAGGGCAGCGGGCACCGGGCGCGCCTCTCGCGCGACTACACACACCCGAAGACCAGCATCTTCGCAGAGCCTTTTGGGGACAAGGCGGCTGTCAATCAGCGCTCACTTCCTGCGGACCAGGTGCCGGGTGCTTTAGCCGAGGGGCGTCGGCGCCCACCCCGCCCCCGCCCGCCCGGGAGACCCGCGCGCCAACCTGCGCGCCGCGTGCCCCGCCGCCTCCCGGTGTCTCACACTCCCAGGCCGGCGTCTCTATTTTAAGACACCCAGCTTGGGCTCTCCTCCCCGCCCCCTCTCGGGACAGGCTCCAGGTGTGCGCAGGGCGTGCGCGCGCGCGCGCGTGTGTGTGTGTGTTGCGCGGCGGAGAGTGCGCACCGCCCCCGCTGGGGACCACGGCCCGGGGAAGTGCCCAGTGCGCACCTTCGCCCCATCTTGGGCCCACGTCTGCCCGCCGGCTCCCGACGCTTGCACAGCGGTGGGCTAGTGCGTGCGCCCAGGTCTTACTGGAAAGAAGTCGATTTTCGGCCAAGGCCCCTGGTGCTGCGGGCCCCAGCGCCCAAGCCGCTGCGAGCCCCTGTGTCTTTCTCCTTTCCCGCGTGGACTACGCCCGAGGACCACGGCTCCGTTGTCATCAGTTGGGAACCCCGCAGCCCTGGCCGACCTCGCATTTGCGCTGAGCTAGCAAACAGAAAGGCACCACCAAGATCCTACCCCATAAATGATCGTGGCCCCGGCCGTTATCCCTGCCATAAGCTACAAATTAGTAATAAAAGCGTGCGTTCTTTCCCGGTGTTTAAACTCTGGTTATAGCCCATTTTTCCGCTTCGGCAAGGGCCAGCACAGCGCGTTTCCAGGCTGCCCACGGGCCCTGGTGCAGTGGGCCCCACGCGAGCGGCTCCCAGCGCCGGGTACTCCCTGAATCTGAGCAGGTCCCTCGAGACGCGACAGGGCGTGGGCAGCCACGGAGACCCGTGTTTCCCGAGCAGTTTGACTTCTTCCCCTGAGCTCCTACTCTCTGAGTCTGTCCAATTCGTATCCGTGCGAACTTTCGTTTTCAATCGGAATTGTTGGGTGAGGGGCCCCCGCCAGGCCTCCGAGCCCGAGGGGGCTCAGCGCGCGGCAGTCGGCGGGCAGTGTCCGGGGCGCGCCCATTTCCACGACTTGTCTCGGGATTGGGGTGTTCAGGAGTGGAAGGAAAGCGAACGGAAGGGACAGACAGTGCGAACTAAAGACGGCCTTGGCCAGGGCTGCTGACGCCCGCTCCCCGCTCCCGACCTGGACGGGGCCCCGAGTCTTGCCGGGCTCCCCGAGGGGCCCCAGGTGGTCGCGGGAGCGAAGTGGCTGCGGCGCCTGAGCCGGTAGTTAAACTCGGAGGAGGGACACGCCTAGGGACTCACAATGCTGCACTTAAGAGCTATTAACAGGCCAATCAAGCCGAGCTTTAGACAGGGCCCGCTGTGCGTCTTGGAGGAACTCCCTTGCAGAAATGTGCGTGCGTGCCCGGGCTCCCCTCCCTCCTCTCTGTTTTAGATCGTTTTCCTTGATTCTTCTCCGCGGAGGCAGCTCGTTCGAGGGCCGCTGAGAACGACCGCCAGCGGCGCGCGTCCACTAGAAGAGACCCCGGGTAGCCGCAGCGGGCCCTGGCGCGCCCTTGCTGTCGCGGCGGAACCAGGCGGCCTGTCCTCTATCGGGTACGGCGCTGCGCGCAGCCGGGGCCCTGACGCCGGGACGAGCCGCCCAAAGGCTGTTCTGAGCGCGGAAGGAGCAGGGACCCCGCGCGCTACACACAATGACCTGGGTCCCTCCCAGGAGAGCTGCATTCGTTCCCAGGGCCACTCCGGGCGTGGAGTCGTCTTCGCCTCCGGGAAAGCGGAGTGCTGTGGGCAGCTTCCACCACGTCCCCCAGAGACTGTTTTGGGGAGGGTGACCCAAGTGCAGCGCCTACTAAGGGTCGGGCTTGGAGCGTCCGGAGCCCCGGACCGGAGCGCCGGCCCGGCGACAGAGATGCGGCGAGGGGCCGAGCCCCTGAGCGGGTGCTCACCGACAGCGCGCCGTGCGGGTTATCCTTGGGCCAGGTCCTCGCCCTGCCCTCCTGCTCCTCAATTTCTTTCTCACTCTCGAGCTATTCCAGTCTTTCCAGGACCACTCATTCCCTGCAGATCCCCTTTCCCCCAGTGTTCCTGCGCTTTTAGCCTGTTCTTTCCCGGGATTCCAGCTTCTCTCTTCTCTGTTCTGCCCTTCCTTCTCTTCTCCCCACAGTGCGTCCCTTTTCTTCTCTCCTCCTCTCCTCCCGCCCTGTCTCCCCAGCCCGGGTCCGGATCGCGCTGGTGCCGAGGCAGCAGGCTTGCAGTTACGCAGCCCAAGCCCCGCCGCCTCGCCTGCGCGCTCGCCTAACGGGCCGAGTCCCCCAGCCCTCTCCTCCCCGCTTCCCGCTCTCCCTCACAGTGGGTGTTGTAATCTGCGGTGTTTTAACAGCTGAAGACGTCAAACGCATTCCTACTCAGCTTGGATTTTGTGTCTTCGCTTCTTTGCCCCCAGAGGCAAGGGACCTCTGGTAGGGTTTGTGGGCACACACTCCCACGCGCAGGGGAGAGCAAGGGGTTCCAGGTTGCGCAGTCGGACGGTAGCTCTCTGTTGTTTATGACTTAAATGGAGCCTCAGTGCCTTCATCTGTAAACGGTAATCCCCATACCACCGTCACAGGTTGCCCTGTCATAATCCCAGCTCCTTCTCTCTCACTGGAAAGCCCTGCGCACCCCTTGCTCTTCCTCCTTAGAGGAAAACAAATTGAGCCCCACCTGAAAAGTCCCTCCCCTGGGAAGCGCTTCCCCATCCCAAGGCTGTCCCTCGCAACTCCTGGCTCTCGCGTGTCCATTGCATGTTTATTGCACCCTCCACGATGTGAAATGCCGTAAACATTAGTATCCGTCTAGTTTTCCAAATACCCACATAGCATCTGGGGCAGGACATGTGCCATGAACAAGCGGATACGCAAAAAGTACTTGGTGACGACAAATCTTACAACTTGTACCAAATGTGTACTTGTGTGCTTCTTCTCGAATGAGCCTCTCTCTCTCTCTCTCTCTCTCTCTCTCTCTCTCTCTCTCTCTCTCTCTTTCATTATTCTAGGGTTTTTAAGCAATGGCATCCAGGCCGATTCCCATTCTGCTCCTGTCTCCCTCTTTTCACTCCCGTTCCTCCAGACTGTGGAGCCTTCCAATGGGAGGAAGCACATCCCAACTGTCAATCATGAGGTGGAACTTTGGTCGGAAAAGTCAGGGGTTTTGATTTCAACATTAATGAAGTGGCTGCAACAGCAAACATCTGCCAAAGGGACTCAAACCCTTTCCAGCTGCTAGAGACCCACAGACGCATCCCAGCCTCCTGTGACCATACCCTGGCAGTGCGTGCCCTATGTCCCCCTGCGGAACGCTATAGAGAGGAGCCTCTTCTGTGTGGAGTCACCTTAGGCCTGCAAGAAAGGGGATGCAAATTCAGACCCTCCAGGAGGCTTGGGGGGGGGGAGTTCCCCCAGCCTCCTCCCTCCAACCCCCCATCTGCATCAGTGTCGGGGAGACAGAGCCCAGACAGAGAGACTGCGACAAGGACTCCTTTGCAAAGTTAGGGCTGGAGGCTCTGACAGCGAGAAACCAAAGAATCCCTCCTTTCCTCTTTCCCTCCCATCCAGTATCTGTAACTCTTGACATTTAATAAAGTGACTTCTTTAAAACCCTAGGGTGATGTTTAAATTGGAAGCAGGACCTGACCCTAGATGGACTCAGCTTGATTTTTAGTTTCATTATCATATTACAGTCTTCAGCTACGTGTTGATGTAGGTATTCGGAAACAGCCAGGGCATGTCTCATAAGGACACTCATTCATTTCCCAAACTTCTTTTCTCCAAAGTGGGGGGGAGGGGGATGAAAGCACTTCTTACATTCTAGTAAAGTGCATTTAGGAACTTGTATTTCAGCCGCAAAGTTTTGAAATAGTTTCAGACGTGTAAAAGCAAAATAAGAAAAGCCTCGTAAGTTAATATTCCCCTGGGCCTCAGAGCCTTGCCAAAGCTGCTGTCTGAGGAGCCCGGCTCGGCAGCTTCGGATAACGAGTTAAGGGAGGTGTGTGTGGAGGCCAGCTTATTTCTAATGATGATATTAATTTACAAACCTGCTCTCATACCCCGTATGAGAGGCCACAAATATGACCTGCTTGACAAATGGGCTGGGGAAGGACTGAGTAAGATCCTTCTCTCCTTTCTCCAAACAGCTTTCTGTAGGGAAAGTAGGACAGGAGAGGCACAGTAGGAGCAGGGCTTGTATCCACAGGGCACTGACATTTTTACGTGAAGACTGAAAATGCAGTAAATCATCCGGCTGTTTCCAGATTTTTAGGATCTTGGCACACAGATTAAAATGTGCTGATTCTCTCCCCACTTTTAAATTATAGTATCCTGACATCACCCAGTCAGATTTCTGTCAATACCCTGTGTGCCTCAATTATCCCAACTGACAGAGCCGGAAAAACAAAGTTTAACATCTCCTTACTTTTGTCAAAATATTGTGAAAGTAGATCTGCAAGTCTGCAGCATCTTTGGCTGGGACGCCACTCACCCCCATCTGCTGTCTTTTCCTGAAAAGAAAGAAAGAAAGAAAGAGAGAAAGAGAGAAAGAGAGAAAGAGAGAAAGAGAGAAAGAGAGAAAGAGAGAAAGAGAGAGAGAAAGAGAGAGAGAAAGAGAGAAAGGGAGAAAGAAAGAAAGAAAGAAAGAAAGAATAGAAAGGTGCAACCGCAATAGAGAGGCAGCATTTGAAATGTGGATTGGAACAGCGTCCTAGTCCTAGCGTCTGGTGTGGGAGCAAAGAATACTGGAGTCCGGCTAGCCCGCTCTATTCCCAGCCCAGTCCCTTGATCATAACCGTCCGGCCCTGTGTCCTCAGGGGTTTGCTAGGTGAGTCCATGGGAGATTGTGTGCACACTGCTAACTTGGGAAATGCCAGTCTCCCCACGATTGTTACTTTTTCAATAAAACAAGCAATTGCTGTAAAAATAAAATCACAAAATAAAACTGAACTTTAAAGGCACTAGAGCCTGTCTCTCCAGTTTCCTATGTGTTCAGGGTTGGGTTTTGCTCGATGTTCAAAACACCGGATCAACGGAGGCATAAGGAGCGTGAGGGACAGAAGTAAATGGGCTCGACTATCATTAGCTAAAGGAAATGGCCCTGGCCACCTAGGTCCCTAAGCTTTACTGA